ATACAGATAACCAATAGACATATGAAAAAAATGCTCGCTGTCTCTACTCATCAGAGGAATGCAAATTAAAACCACATTGAGCTATCACCTCACCTGTCCAAAGGGCTATCATCAATAAATCAATCAATAACAAGTGTTGGCAAGGATGTGGAGAAAAGGGAACCGTTGTGTACTGTTGTTGGAATGCAGATTGGTGCAGCCACTGTGGAAAACAGTATGGAGTTTCTTCAAAAAATTAAAAGCAAAGCTGCCTTATGACCCAGCGATACCACTCTTGGGTATGTATCCAAAAAAATCCAAAACATTAATTCGAAATATATGCACCTCTATATTCACTGTAACGCTATTTACATAGCTAAGATACAGAAGCAAACTAAATGCCCATCATTAGATGAGTAAATAAAAAAGCTGTGGTCTATTTACACATGGGATATTACTCAGCCATAAAAAAATAAAATAAAATCTTACCATTTTTGACAGTATGGTAAGATTTATTTCTTGGATGGACCTAGAAGGTATTATGCTAAGTGAAATGTGTGTCAGAGAAAGACAAATGCCACATTTCACTTATGTGTGGAATCTAAAACAAAATAGAACAAATTGAAACAGACTCAGATACAGAGAACAGATTGACAGTTGTCAGAGAGGGAAGCTGGGTGAAAAAGGTGAAGGGGAATTAAGAAGTACAAATTGGTAGTTACAAAATAGTCACAGGGATGTAAAGTACAGTCAATACTACTGTATAACTGTGTATGGTGCCAGGTGGGTACTGGAAATATCAGGGAAAATACTTTAAAGTATATGGTTGTTTAACCACTATGCTGTATACATGAAACTAATACAAGATAATATAGAATGCAAACAGTAATTTAAAAATCCTATATAATAAAAGGCTAATATGCAAATCGACCGAATGGCAGAATGACCAGTTGCTATGACACACACTGACCACCAGGGGCTAGAGACTCAATGCAGCAGCTACCCCCTGGTGGTCAGTGTCCTCCCACAGGGGGAGCACCGCTCAGCCAGAAGCTGGGCTCATGGCTGATGAGTGCAGTGGTGGTGGTGGGAGCTTCACCCGCCTCTGCGGCAGTTGGACATCCCCCGAGGGCTCCCAGACTGCAAGAAGGCACAGGCCGGGCTGAGGGACGCTCCCCCCACCCGCCCCAGGTGCATGAATTTTGTGCACCAGGGCCTTTAGTAAAATTATAAAGATTTATTTCTAGAATATGTATTTTCCTCTTACACTGATCATTAGTCACCTGCACAGAGGACAAGATGGCCAGCTGAGGTGACAGAAATCAAGGAGGACCAGGTTTACAGACCACTCCTTACTGTCCAAAGTGCCCTTTCAGGAAAGTTTGCCTTGGTCACTAAATAAATGAGGGCCCATCGATGTTACAGCCAGAGGCCACTTTGTGAGGTAGTAAGAGGGCTGCCTGAGGCCTTCTCCCAGGCCTTGCTCTTGGTTTCAGGAGGTTCCAAGAGCTAAGGTGTTTGCTAGGCAGAACTTCCTCAGCTTGGGCCAGTCCCTCTGCCTCCTGGTTCTGCTGGCAGGACCCAGCTACCCAGAGAACAGGGACTACAAACCAGAACCCAGTTAAAACTACAGGCTCCCAACTCTAACAAGATCTTGGTCCCGACAACCTTGGAATCTATGCTCCCTGTAAAAAAAGTAAGACAATTCATGTGCAACTGCAGCAGCTGCTCTCTAATGCTGGGAACCTTCCTTGAGAGTGCTAGTAGCTGACCCTAGTGACCATAGGAGACTGAACCCAGGCCAAGAACAGTAAGAGTATGTCCCAAGTGTCTCCCCAGATGCCTCTTCTAGTTTGTCCCACTCACAGCAGCTTCAATTATGGTTTAAACCAAAGCAGCTACATGTATTGCATGAGACACATGTGGGAGTAGGGGAGCTCCCAGCTCAGAGGCTGGCTGAGAACCCTAGGGCATGGGTGGCCCTGGACAGTGCATGCTTGCTGGGGAAATCCTCCAATGCACATGTTTCATATAAGCCACTTAAGGATGCTTCCCCTCTTCTTTCTTATCTCTGGGAAGCATGTGGGCTTGGCAGAATCCCCAGCCATACAGGGAAGGATACGGTCCTAAAAGAAACCCCTGCTGGCTTCTGAAATCATGGGCCTGGGGCACCTCCTCAGCCCCTAAGGCCTGAGTGTAGGCCTTAATGTCCCGTTACTCACAAAGGTACCATCTATTGTAGGTCAACTATACAAACACTGAATTCTCTAGACTGGCTTCTGCCGATTCAAAATGTGTTCAAGGACTAGAAACTAATTTATTATTTGTATTAGGCCTTATAGATGACAAAAAAGGGAAAAGATTCTACTGAGACCTCCCTGCACCAAAACCAAACCAAACCAAATAAAACTCTTTAGAAACACAGCCCAATATAAACGTCCCCACTTTGATAGGTCATACCATACTTTTCCCAACAACACAGAAAGGTGGCCTACAGTAACCCCAGAATGTCACTCACTACTCTTCCCTACCACCTTCTGACAAATATCCGAATAATCTCTAACTCCTCAGAAAGTTGTCAATTAGGGAGGTCTACAAACTGATGGTATGTGTGCAAGGTTTATGCAGAATGAAGTGTAAACCTCACACTGGGGCTTCCTGAACTTGACTGAGCTGCCGATCACTGGGGCTGGTGCAGGAGCAGCGTCTAGTTTGGCCTGCTCATTTCCAGAGGATCAAGTCAACTCTTCAGCCTTCCTTTCAAGGCCCTCCAAAGGCTGGTTCTAGTCCATATTTCTGGACTGGTCTCTAAAGCCTCTTGCACAGAGACCAGCCCATCCAATGCTCTTCCAGCATGCCTTGTACTCTCCCATACCCTCTGGAATGTTTAGTCAGAATCATATCTTTATCCAAAATGGCCTTCCCTCCTATTTGTGCCTATTAAAATGCAGCCCAAAGCCTGGCTCCGCCACGAGTCTCCTGGATCTCTGCACACCTCACTGCTCTTTCTCCTGACATCAGCTCACTGCCTGTCACTCTGCGGTTTATCACGTCCTGCCCTGGACTGCAGCGAACAGTGTGTCTCCTCTCAGGGCTCAGACCATGGCCCTTCCAGAGTGTAAGGCACGAGGAATGAGGGGATGCACAAGGCCATCCACATGTTGCTATGACTGAAATGAGAACTACAGCATGACAAGGTGTCATTCTTATTTAAGTCCTCAGTGTGAGGCCAGTTTTCAATGTTTGGTGAAATGAACTTGAGTAGTAAGTAAGGATTAAACCAACAGCAGACACGGAGTTTTCTTTCTAGTTAGCACACCATGAAGCCTGCTGGCTGGCAATAGGAGGACCCGGGAACAAAAGGCACCACAGGTAAGTGAAGGGCTCAAGTGACCAGCACTCCCATGGGTTGCTCACTCAGCTGTAAAGCTTTTGTTTACTAAAGAAAATCCAAGGTGGCCAAGCTCTGGGGTCATGCAGCGGTATCTGCTCTCTGGCCCACTTGCCGGGTGCCCGACTGCAGGGACTGTGTTTGATACTTCCATCTCCCTCAATGCTTACTTGTCAGGGGTTGTTCAATTAATACTTGCTGAACAAATGAATTTCTCTTTATTCAGAGAGTCCATACAGGTACCTTCATATGTGCAAAGTTACTGGAGAAATACAAGTTGAATCGACACAGAGAACAAATACTGCCCACACTTCTGCAGAGGATGAGTGTTATCTAAGCCACAATGTTTACACTGTCTGATTCCATCAACGACCATCACAGAGTTGGAATGGAAGCCAACAGGAGAGAGAAAATATCCAGGGTGTGGAAATCATTACACCTGCATCTCTCTACCGTAGCGTTCTGAACCATCTCATGATCTTGTAGCTGATACATGGCGTTCACAATAAATCAATGATGTCCGATGATGGCTGGGAGTTTTCAGGAGGCCTTGGCTTTCATCTTGGACAGCAGCATCTCGTTTCTGCGGCCCTCCTGGAGGGGAAGCAGAGAGAGTGTGTACAGAAAGGCGATGGCAACATTAGCACCCATGTGAGGCCCAGATGGTCTTGCTGTCCTTCCCCCAATCCAACGGGAGATAACTGCTGACCAATTAAACCAGCCTCCCACCACGTTGTCACCAGTGTGGTGAAATTTCCCGGCGACATGCTGACCTTCAATACCAAATTAGCTATGAGACAACCACTGTCTGCACTGTCAGATTGAAAACAGGATGACAAGACTAGGCACTGTCACTCCAAAAGACTTCCTGAAGCCTGTAAAACCTTCCAGGGGACAGAAGCTGAAAGCAGAGTTATGTGCCATTCCTGGATTACTACAGGCAGCAAGGAGAGAAGGGGAAGTCCTTGGAGACAGACTAAGGAGCACAGCAGGTGAAGCAGTAGCAAAGTTCTTACTCTGACAATAGTGAAGGTTAAGAATATCCTTAACTTGCAGACAGACAGAAACTCACAGAAGATGAGAAATATGCATCAGGGGACACCTTCCCCCTTAAGAATGAGCTGTGTGAGATCTATTACTGTATGTGCTGAGGGACATTACTGAGGGAGGTCATTGGCCCCATCCCCTCCCTGTGTAACTGACATACAGTGGTATGAGGTCACCTCTGTATTATTTTATATTCCATTTTTCAGACATCTTCAAAGGCTTCTCACTGTGTCATCCTGCCCTCTTGTTCCCACTGGCTTTCATAGCTCAGGACACATCCATCTGCTAGCAAAAATCTCCACCCCTTGCCCTGGCCAGTGTTTCCCAATGGTTAGAGCACCAGCTGCGCAGTGAAGGGTCTTGGGTTCGATTCCCAGTCAAGGGCACGTATGCTCCCGTGACACAGAAATAGAGAAAAATACTGTAAAACACGACTATCTACTTGTTCTATCCGCGGTTCGCTCCCGCCCCCAGTGGGGCTCTTTTGGGAGGCAATCAGTCCATGCTTCTCTCTCACATCGATGTCCCTCCCACCAGCCCCCTCCCCGGCCCCCACTCCACTCTCTCTGAAAAGCAATGGAAAAATACCCTCAGGAGATGATTAACAACAACAGCAACAAAATCTCCACCCCTTCCCTAGGCCATGTCACAAGGAGCTCTGCTTCAAACTGAGAGGTGAAAGTGGTAGTAGGAAGAGCCTGGAGAGGTTGAGCTTGAGGGCCAGGCCTCTAGCAGCCAGACCCATTAATGTGGAAGAAAAACTTCCTTTCACCCTTGAACCCTCTGCATACAAGACCCCAATGTCAGTGTTTCCACCTCCTCCCTGGGCCTACTTGCTCCCAGCTCTCTGGAGGCCCTTTGCTCTTTCTGGCAGCATCATGGCCCACGGCCACACAGCGCTGGTTTCATTAAGACAAATGCCAGCTCACTGTAGGGTTTACACTCATCTCTCACTCCGCGCCGAGGCCTCGCCAGGCTCTTGGACTGGGGTAAGGCGGAACTCTTCTGTCAGAAGCAAGGTGCTCAGACACTTCTTGAGCACATACTTTTGGGGGGGGGCAGTTAATTTTTCTTGGGGGTGGATACAGAAAAATGGTGAAGTTTTCCTTTCAAAAATTAGTTACTGAAATTTGCTTGGGAGAAAAACCTTCCAGTCTCCCCACCTCCCAAATTAGGGAGGGGTAGAGATGGAACAAGAACAAGTAGATAGTCGTATTTTTATAGTACTTTTCGATACTTCTGTGTATTTTTTAAAATTCCCACAAAAGATAAAACAAAATAATGAATAAAGAAATTAGCTTTAATCTTCACGCACTTCACCTTCTAAAAATGAGGCAAAAACAATACAGAAGCCTGAACCCACTGCTGTGGCAGAGTCCCAGCAGGGGTGATTCTGTGCGTCATACCACACGGAGCGAAGCCTGAGCTGTCAGGAGAGCCATCCAGGCCGCCACCCCGTGGGTGTGTGTACTGAGGAAGTCCCATGCAATCTACTAGGAGCCTTTTGGGAGACTACGGAATGACACTGTTTGACAGAAAGAGTCCTTTAGGCATTTTTTTTTTCTAGAATAAAAGGGAAAATGTCTCCTTGCCTGTTTCTTTCCTGCTTAAAACCATAGGGGCCTGCTCTGCACCAGAAACAGCACATCTGCTCACTCAAGATTATGTGTGCACAGCCAGCTTCAGGCTTCAATGTTGGGCTACAATTTAAATCTTGGTTTGGTGACCTTGTCAGAGATGTGGTTTAGCAACACAATTAATTGATATAATACTGTGATTAAGGTGATTTGTGATTTCAGAGTATGTGTAGTTTCCTGGCAGACCTGTTATTAACAAACTTCCCCAGGGTGAGGGCATGAATTAATGTGCTCAATTAATGTGGAGCAAACCACATGCAATAAAGACAGGTGAGGTTCTGGACAATAATACTGTGCTCTGCATGACGAGTCATTATTGCCCAGCACAGGTGCTGGGACCAGGATGTGATGGGAATTCAGAATTCGGGAGTAGAAGACCAAGCATGTGGGCAAGAGGCAGGTAAAGAAAGCAAGACAGAGAAGGTTCTGGGAGAAGATTCCACCCTGGGATGAAAGTCCAACTTTCAAACTGGCTTTCTACCCCAAATGAGATCTTATTTGGAACTGCAGCATGTAAAATATCAGAATTACTCTGGCTGAAGGTCTGAGGAGCAGCAAGCAAGCCACCATCACCACCTCCTCCTCAGCTCCTATGGTGGCCCCAAGTCACCTCAGAGGAACTTGTGGAAGAAAGTTTAAGGTTTGAGAACACCGATATATGGTTGCTAAATTAAAAATTTTGTAACAACCACAGAGCAATGCACTATCACCCTTATTTTATAAGATGAAGGCAATTTTAACATTAAAAAAAAACACAAGAGGCCATGCTATTTTTTGAAGAGGTGAGGTCGTTAAATAGAAAACATTTAGCTGTCTGAAGAACATACTACGATTCTCCTCCCTTTGTTTCCAGCTTGCTTTGGAGGGAAGAACACTGAGGCATGGCAAGCACCTGGCCTAGGGGACTTCCCTAGCTCTGAAGGCCCCACTGGTGTCTCTGCTGGGAGAGAACTGTCTCAGGAGGCAGGAACACAGAAGTCTTGATGTTTAATGCACCTGAAGGAACCTTTGGTAGGAAGGAACATCTATCTTTGGAGGTCACCCTAAGTCTTCAGCCCTGAGAGCCTGTGGTGCAAGAATGAACTTTTCCATTTCACTTTTATTTGCTTTGACTTTGACAACATATACTTATCCTCCCCAACTTACTTGTTTTTTTGTTTCTGCAGGGCAGTGCTGGCATGTGCAAGCAACATTTGAAATGTAATGCTTATCCTCTGGCCTTCTCTCTTTGTGAGTTACTTGAATTAAAGGGAAAAGAGTCCCTGTTTATCCCCTGCCAGCTCACTCACTGGCCCTTCCACAATTGCAGCTCCAGCCAGACCTGGAACACCTTGCTGGGTCACTGTCTGATGCTGCCCAGCCTTAGGCCTTCTCGGGACTGCTCCCTGGCTGAAGGCCTCTTGCTCTGCCCATGGCCAAGTCTTTCCAAACGGAGAGAAACCTTCCCTACTACAACATGTACATTAGTTCCCCTTCAGCAAAGATTGAAATTACTTATTTATTATTACTAGTTTAATACGGCTTGTTTCCTTGCTTGTCATGTCTCCCTGAGATCATGACATAAGCTTCTTGACCAAATCTGTTTCACAACCTGATACATCCCCCGGGGCATGCATGGTAGGAGCTGGAAGAACACTTAGTGAAAAGATGAAAGATTCTGAAATGCCCGTGGCTCCCAAAAGCTAAACTACAAAAAGGGGAAGGAGAAGTAGGGAAAGAAAAAATGAGGAAGGAGGGAAGGAAGGAAGGTCTTAAAACAGTACAAGAACAAAATTATCACTATGGAAAGATTAGTAGTATATTTTTTTATTCTGTAGACCAAACACCAAAATACAACTTACCTTTAGTGCCTCTGTATTTTCAGCAACCTTTAAACTCACTTAAACCACATGGATTTAGGTTAGAATGGGGGTAGATATTCCTGGAAACAAAGCTGCTGAGATCTGGGAAGTGACAAAGTAGTCTCCTTTCCGGAAGATCTCTTAAGTAAAGGGCATACATTTTTCTTTCTGGAACAGTGGAGAGTAACCCAGCCCAAATGCAGGGAAGAAAAGACAGGGACAAATGAAATTCAGCGACTGGTGGGTGTCACAGGTGCTAGACACAGTGCTAGATGCAATCGTCTCTCATCTGACCCAACAGAACTCACCAACGATGAAATTAAGGCTAAGTAACTGCCGAGGGCACAGCTGGTAGTGGTAAAGGTAGGATTCCAACCCAAGCCTGGCACACTTCAAAGTTCACTCATCCTACACGGCTTCTCAAGGTTCCCCCCACACCCCCATCCTAAGGTTGAGGGGAGAAAAGCTCTAGGTCTAAATCTGTAACAAACATTGTTTCTAGGTGGCCTGTGAGGTGGGCTGATGCTGCCATTTTATAAATTTAATGTGCTTGTCAAGTGTTAGGAAAATGAAAAAAGATGTGAAGTCTCCTGGAACATTCAATTAGAGCCTCAGGATGGCTTCAGAACAAGGAGATCACGACCTACCCCGATGCCACCCTTCACGGTCAGATCTCACTGCCACCTTCTCTTTCCCATCACAGACCAGTAGAAAACCAAGGAAGCGCTCTGTTTCTAAAGGCTCATCTGGAAGTGAACATAAATCTCTCCACAGCTATACAAGCCCGGCCAATCTCCCTCTTACCTCCTTGAACTCTTTCACAGTCTTAAAATATAGCCTCTGTTTTTCCAACAATTCCAGGTACTGGTCATTCAACTGGTCTCTTCTCATTTTGTTCTCTTGCTTCTTCTTTTCCATCTGTTGAAACATTTTGGGAAATGGTAATGAAAAGACATGTTCTGACCAAGGGCTGTTGGCAACATCCAAAAGGCAACTACTACTAATATTTTTATAGATTTCCTTCCAGTATTTTCCTTCTTTATATCACTTTTGCGGTTGGTTTATTTAACTTACATGATATTGCATAGAGGTTCTATTTATTCAGCACTTTTCCTATCACTGGGCATTAACTGCTCCATTTTCATTGTTTTTTTTTGTGTGTGTGTGTGACTAAAAACAATTCACAATCAACCAAGCTATTTTGCCCCCAGAGGATAGTTGGTAATGTCTGGAGACAGTTTAGATTGTCACAACTTGAGGAAGCGGTGCTACTGGTATCTACTGGTAGAAGCCAGGGATGCTGCTAAATATCCTGCAATGCACCGATAGCCCCTATATACCAAGAAATTATCTGGCACTGAGGGGCCCACAGCTTGAAGCCTGGGGGAGGATGGAGAGAATGAGGGGTCAGGATATACCTTCCTCAGGACAGCATCGCCCAGTAAACAGGAAGGAGAAGCCAAAGGGGAAAATGCCAGTAAGTGTCTGTGTTCTTTACTGTTAGCAAGAGCAGCCGAGGAGGAGCACGGTGGGTGGGAAGGTCCACCACCCTGAGACGTGGGTTAGATGGGCTCATGGTTAGCCAGGTTCTCTGCTCTCCGCCTCCCTCACACCCCAGGCCATCAGAAAGGGCCTCCATTCATTCTCTGCAGGAGCCCAACCCACCTTGGTTAAGTATCTGTGTTCAGGCAAGCGCTGCCTCACACCAGCTCTCACTCTTGTGGATGAAAAGTCTTGCCACTAATGACACCTTTTTTTTTCTCTTTTGAGAACAGTATTTTTCTACAGGGAAAACGATACGGAGGGATTTTGCCCTCAGTTAGTTCATCACTTGTGAGATGAGAGCATAGGCAGCCTGGATGTCTGTCTTCTGTGAGTGGGTTTTTATGACAGGTCCCACAGGCAACCCTTTCTTCCATTTGTTTACGTTCTGGCATCACTCACTGGACCACTCTGCCCCAAGATCATGAGCAGATACCCTAAGTCCCCAGGTGGTTCTACAGCCTTGCCTGAGGACTGTATGGTGTGATATTTTTTTTTTTAACAGGAAACTGCAGCTATGTCTGGCTTTTAGACAGTCAGCAAATCTGCTAGCCACTGACAAAAGGGCCCAATATGCAGAGCCACAATGAGGAAAACCACTTGTAACTGGGTGATTATCTGAAAAGCAACCTCTGGAGCTACCACCCTTTTCAGTTCCTCTACTTTCTATTCTGACTTCTGAGGCATTCAATATCCTCTCACTTTAGTAGAATTCAGTTCAGAATTATTGCATTTTTTTTTATAGGAGGTTCCTGAAAACTACAATGCGCCTGAGATCCTAAGGAATCAATCTTTAATGGCAGAATGTCAGGAACCAAAGATGCAGTGAGGAAGTGATGCTGATGAAGTTGGTTTCTCATCTGTAAATGGGTATGACACCACTCACTTAGGAGGGCATTAAAAGAATTAGCATAGTCCTAGGCACAAAGCAGGTGTTCAATCGTGGGAGATATTCCCAAGAGCTGCCTTTGGACCAGCAGTGCAGGAGGTCCTAGGAGCCGGCCCTGCCACTGCAGGGGCATGAAGATACGTCTTCAGGACTGAGAGCAAATGACCAAGAACAGACAGAAGAAGCCTATTCTTCCCAGGGCCTTCTCCATCGCCAGTATAAAACCCGCCTTCTAACCTTCATTCTACTTTGCTTAATTCCTTCAACGATCTGTTCCATCTGACGTAAAAACTGGTCCCGGGAAGCAGGGGAAGCCATGGCTCTGAAAGAAAAATGAGCAGAGAGAGGTATGACCAGCACACAGAGCTCTGAATAAGGGGGAGGTACCACAGAGTCAGCCCAGTCTGGGGTACCCAGATGATGCTCCAAGAGGCAACCAGGCATTTGCAAGTGGACCTGTGGAAAGCCCAGAAAGTTAAGAATTCTAAACTCTGAAGGCATAAAAATGAACTTGATTTTACAATTGAATATTAATCTTTTTTTTTCATTTTTCCTACGATTTTCTTCAGTAACATGTATTTTCTTTAATTAAAATTCCACTAAAATTAACAAAAACTTTTTTACTTTGAATGATAGTCGGTACTGCTTAAGAAATGAATTTTGAAAGATAAATATCACATGATCTCCCTCATTTGTGAAATATAATGAACATAAACTGATGAACTAAAATAGATCCAGAGACATAAAAGCATCGAACAGACCATCCAACCTCAGAGGGAAGGCAGGGGAGGAATGGGGGGGAGGGTGAGAGATTAACCAAAGGACCTGTATGCATGCATAGAAGCATAACCCATAGACACAGACAGTAGGGGGTGAAACATGTCCTCAGGGATGGGAACAACCGGGAGAGGTCAATGGGAGAAGAAGGAGACATATGTAATACTTTCAACAATAAAGAATTAAAAAATAATAATAAAATAAAATAAATGAAAAAAAGAAAAAGAAAAAAAAAGAAATGAATTTTGTCTGGCCAGTGTGGCTCAATGGTTGAGCTTCACCCCATGCACAGGAGGTCACTATCAGGGATATGCCTGGGTTGCGGGTTCGATTGCATCGATGATTCTATCTCTCTCCCCCTCTCCCTTCTTCTCTCTGAAATTAATAAAAACATTTTTAAAAAAAGAAATGAATTTCATTTATTAGTTCTTAAAAATCTGAGGATTTGAGACACTGCTCAAGATTAGTAGACATATTCAGAGATTTCCCTAAAGCCAGCCTGGGAAACCTGGTATTTCTAGAAGCAGCAGCTAATGAGTAGATTCCCTGATGTCCTAAAACATTCCCCTTTGCCTCCAGTTCCACAGAGGAAGTGACATCAGAGGGGTCAGAGCACATGCATACCATGATTAGGAATTCTTCCAAAAAATGTCAATAGCACTCATCACAAAAACACCCAAACTGCAGGCTCTCTCAATGGCCCGAAAGGAAAGATGAAGGCATCACTTTTAGAAATATCACAAGGTTGTAAGTCACTAACTGAATTTTTATCAGGGAGTTATGGGTGTTTTCAATTAGAAATTAAGCTTAAAATTTAGAGCTTGTAATCTATTAAGATCTTAAGTTACTAGTCACCTAGTAGAGATTTGTGCTGGACGGAAAGGAAGCCTGCTAAACAGACATCAGGCCCTGGAGCTTCCTGGAGGGTGGGCGGGCCAATGGGCATGCATGCCTCAAGGCTGGTATGATTTCAATATATCAGTTTAGTACATCCAGTTTTTGGAGAAAATTCCTATCTGAATAAAGTACTTTAGAGGATGCACATTAACTTAAAACAAAGTCAACAAGGAGATTTCTAAAAATCTTTTAAAAATTATACAGATTATACCCCATCTGGGTGGCTCAGTTGGTTGGAGTATCATCCTGTACATCAACAGGGAAAAAAAAAAAGGTTGCCGGTTAAATCTCCAGTTGGGATGTGTACAGGAGGCAACCAATTGATGTTTCTTTCACATCGATGCCTCTCTTTCCCTTCTTTTTTCTCTAAAATCAATAAAAACATATCCTTGGGTAAGGATTAAAAAATATATAATTTCATTACCTAAATTTTAAAACATCTCTATGTCCTCAAGAAAAACTGGTATTAATCTAATCATAGCAGGACAAAAGTAATATACAGAGATTATAGTAGTTGGGCACAGTCAACTAATTTGAAAGTTACCTTTTCCCTAAGCTATTCCTTGTTTTTAAAATTCACTCTAATATCATTGTGTTTTTGCAAGAACTCAAGGGCTGTGCACATTTGCACTTAGCAGCAGGAGTGAAGGATCAGCATCACACATGAGCACTAGGTCTTGCTCAGTGCACTACTGCAGCACTAAGGTGAGCCGAGAAAAGTGGAGGGCACACAAGTCTGACAGAGAGGGGGATTGGCAGTCTGACAGTACTCACTGTGAGAAGTTCTCATGAATTGAGTTCAGCAGGCTAATCTGAGGAAGAAAGAAAAAACTATAAGCAAAAGACTGAAAAGATCCTTGTGCTGCCTCAACCCCTGAAAGCCTGTCCTACTCTGGACAGTGCTTCTGAAAGAGCACATCTTGTTCATGGAGATGAAAGTCGCATGAAAAAAACACAAACAGCAACACGTTCTTAGCCCTATTGTTTTTCCCCAGAAAATCTACCTGGACACTCTATGGCCACAGGAATGTAGGAAGAGGGCTCTCTGAAGGAACCTAAATCCCCACAGAGAAGATGCTGAGCTAACATTAGGGCTCTTTGGGCAAACTGCCACCACGGCCCTTTCTGTCTTGCAAACTTTGCAATTTATTTTGAAGGCTGTCAGTGGAGCAAAGGGTTCATTCGGGTGGGAGCCTTATTCCTCCCCACAAAACCTTTTTGCCAGTGTGGCCAGCTGCTGGGGGTTCTGAGAGGCTCCACACAGAGTGCATCGTTCAAGGCCTCCATTCCTATGGGAACTGCTTTCAGCTGCACAGTATGCCTCTTCATCTACCCCAATGACAGTCCAGGGCAGAGCTCTGAGTCCAGAGAAACTGGAAACCTAGTTCTTCCTTTTTGCCATGTCACTAACTTAACTTGTAAGCTCAGGACTTAGCCCTTACTATACTTGGACCTCAGGTTCAGTATGTAACATGGAAATTATACACTGAGTGGCCAGATTATTATGACTACCTGATGTTTGTAAGCAAACATCAGGTAGTCATAAAAATTAGCTATACTTTTGTGCTGAAGTTGCTAGAGGGCCAGACCATTATAAATAGGGAAGCAGGTTGTTTACCACAACAGTAGAAGTGATTTTTTTTCTGAAGATATGGGTAAACAACTCGATTTAACAGCCTTTGAACGTGGGATATATTCGACCGTGAGTGGCCAGATTATTATGACCAGTCCACCAGTACTTTGTTGGGCCACCTTTTGCCTTCAATACTGCGGCGATTCTTCTTGGCACTGACTCCACGAGATGTTGAAAGGTGATGCGAGGAATCTGACACCATGCCTGATGAATAGCACTGTCCAGTTCTGTGAGATTTGATGGTTGTGGAACCAGCTGCTGGATGGCTCTTTTAACTTCGTCCCACAAATGCTCAATTGGATTGAGATCTGGTGATTGTGGGGGCCACCTAAGCAAGGTAAAGTCGCCCTCATGTTCTTGAAACCACTCCTGCACAATACGAGCACCGTGGCATGGCACATTGTCTTGTTGGAAGAAGCCATTGGGATACGCCATCAACATGATAGGATGAACTTGATCAGCAGTGATACTTAGGTATGTTGTGCTATTCAGACGTTGTTCCACACAAATTAAAGGGCCCAAATCATGCCAGGAAAACATGCCCCAAACCATAACACTGCCCCTACCAGCTTGAAGGGTTGTACTCATGCATGTGGGGTGCATGCTTTCATGCTGTTTCCACCAAATTCTCACTCTGCCATCTGCATGATGCAACTGGAAACGTGATTCATTGGACCACATGACTTTTTTCCAATGCTCGAATGTCCAATCCTTGTGTTCCTGTGTGAATTGGAGACGTTTTATCTTGGTAACTGCAGACAGCAAAGGTGTTCGAACAGGCCTTCAGCTTCCATATCCCATATGATGCAGTGTACGGCTAATTTGCCTACAAACGTCAGGTGGTCATAATAATCTGGCCACTCGCGGTCAAATATATCCCACGTTCAAAGGCTTTTAAATCGCGTTGTTTACCCATATCTTTAGAAAAAAAAATCACTTCTACTGTCGTGGTAAACAACCTGCTTCCCTATTTATAATGGTCTGGCCCTCTAGCAACTTCAGCGTGAAATTATAGCTAATTTGCCTACAAATGTCGGTGGTCATAATAATCTGGCCACTCAGTGTATTCTTGTCCTTATGACTCCACTGGGATGTCTGAAAGCTAAAATATCACAGGCATAAACAGATTTGGAATAAAATGCATGATTTATTAAAATGCATATATAATACTGTGGATTAAAATTAAAAAGTCCTCACTCCCCTATATACTCCTAGGTTTTTAAAGAATGCAACAACTTCAGATACTGCTAATGAAGGAAGGTCAATGGGTTCAAGGTTTTTTTCAGGAGGAGCTGGCCCATCCCTATGTTAGGACTGGCAAGTCTTTCCCATGTCACGTAGGAAGACCCCCAGACCAGGATGTGCAGCAGAGCTATCCCACCAAAGGCAATCTCCTCATCTGTCCAAACCTTTGTCAAATGCCCATTATGGGTAAGGCCCTGGATACAGGGAAATGAGAGCTCAGTCCTCCTCAAGGAGAGCCCCTCAGGAAGAGAGATTTATCTCATTTGATTAGCAACAGGCACTAAAGGTAACAGTAATTATAGATGCCTCCATGTGGGCTCAGGTAAAAGACACATCTGTAAAATTCTTCTTATTAAAGTGGCAATCAGTGCAGGCTGCAAGGTGATAACATGAAAACAAATTCTGTCAAAGTGAGAGGGTAAGGAGGAATTATACGTATTGAAAACCACCATGTGCAAGGAACATCACATTTCCCCCATTCTGTTCCCATCATAATCATACAAAGAGTTGTGCTCCCATTTTCCTGGTAAGGAAAATAAGGCCAGGCTACAACCCAAATCTGCCTGACTTCAAAGCTCATGCTCTCTCCACCACACTGTGCTGCTACTGTGAAGACAAGTACTGTTCTTTTATATATGTAGTTGCACACCCCACCCCACTCATTTGTCATCCGACTTTGGGGAGCCCTGAATTTACGAGTGGATTTGCCTGACAGTGATACTGAGGGGCTGTCAGTGCCATGTGAAGCCCCTTTCACACACTGATGATCCTTTTAGTTCATGCCTCTGTCTGCTACTAATAATTAAACAGACATTTCCCCATGTAAACGATGACAAGCCCACCATCCCCATTTCATTTAGCTGATTCCTTCCTTTAAAACTCTAACGTTTCACCAACTCCAGGCCCCCTCCATATGCACCTTCTGAGCTCCCGCTGTGCTTCTCTTAACGAGGCATGTCTCCCATGCACTATAAGACAGCTGTCCACCAGCCTCACTTCACCCCAGACAAGGTGAGCTCCATGGAACCTTGCACTTTCTGATTCTGCATCCCTGCACTGGGCATACACCAGGCACTCCTTCGGCTGAAACTGAATGCATCCCAGACACCAAGTTCATTTAAACTTCTTGGGGTCAACAGCACTGGTGGCTGCTCATCTGATTTTACAAAGGTTCTTACCTCTTTTTCCAAATAAACTTTTTTATCATCCAGGGTATTATATAAAGTGAAGAATTGCTTGGTTTCTTTATGCACTGCTGAAACTGCAAATGCAAAAAAATCAGCACATGAAAAAGAAAATGTATCAAAACAACCCTAAGCATCCGCTCTTTTTAAGGCACCCCCTCAAGAGTGGGACCTGTCAGGCTGGCACTCTGGACCTGCAGGCTGGGCAGAAGCCCACAGAGCACACAAGCCTGTGCACAGCTGCTACAGGCTGATGGCACGCAGCCAGTTGAAACTGCTCTGGCCAAGAGCAGGGGCTGGAGGAATCTCCTTGTCAGATGTGGGTTTCTCAGAAGTCCCTCAGGTGAGAAGCCCTGGGAGGAAGGTGACAAGGATGATGAAACGCCAAGCAAACTCTTTGTGTGGCTTCCTCCCTTCCCACACCCACATAGCTCTGAACCTAGGTGACCTCCTCAGGGGTCTAAATTCCCATAAGATACAGCCACCCAGAGAGAGATAAAACCCCAAGACCTGTGTTCACAGCCAGGCTTTGAGCCCAAGCTGAGCACCCAGTGTAGCTGTAGCTAAAAATCTGATGCCGCATGGTTATCAGGCACAGCCAAGACTAGGTGGGGTCTAGGCCATGGGCTCCAGGTCCCTGAAAGCAGGTTGCCTCTGGAACAGGACACTGCGAGAGGAGAGCAGAGCAGGCCTGAGCAATTATGGTTTCCTTGGGCAACTACCATTAACATTTATATCCGATTCTTTAAACCACTCAACTTTTAACTTTTATATTCAGTAAGAGCTGTGTTTTCGTCCAGCCGTGCAGCTCAAAGACAGGGAAGGTTGGGGAAATTTGCTGAACATATCTGGTAACAGAAGTTAATCTGATATAAGTATTTGATGCAACAGGAAAAAATGTTTCCAACATCAAAGTGTATAATTTGCATAAAAATCACACTATGAACCAGTCAATATAAAGTATTATTATTCTTGCTAAAAGCTTTAGAACAGTGGTACTCAATCCTGCTTGAAAAGGGGAATCACCTGAGGAGCTTTTAAAGTCCATGACCAATTAAATAAGATATTCTGGGGATGGGACCCAGGTGATTACAATGGGTGGCCAAAGTTGATAGTCACTGTTGTAAACGCACCAGTCAACTTTTAGTTTTATTGCTCAGGAATGTAGCTGTCCCCATTACTCCATCCAGCTCAAGGACTGGTTGGGGGATGCAAGTATTTGATGATAATTTTTAAAAAAATGATGTAAATATTCTGGTACAACTGATTAAAAATGTCTTTGGTGTAAAAATGTCCTATCAAAATGACCTTAACATGTGAAATTTACTCTGTGAGCTATACAGGTACAAGGCATTATTAATATTTTTAAAAGTTTTAAAGTAGGCAGGGGAGAAAAGGGAAAAGATTTAACTTAAAGGCAGAAGCTACTGTCTGCTGAGAAACTGCCGTTGCTGCTACCTGCAGCAGAGCACCTGGGTCAAAGATAAAGACTGTGATCCTCAGGATGGTGGGGTAGACATGGGAAAGGAAGCACGAGTCTGGACTCCAGCAGTTACAGTGCTCTAGACCAAACCAGGAAGACTCTTCAGAGGCCAAGTTCTCAAGGCAAAATCTGAGGTGGATTTTAAAGAAGAGTTGAGCCCTAACCGGTTTGGCTCAGTGGATAGAGCAGTGATGGCGAACCTTTTGAGCTCGGCATGTCAGCATTTTGAAAAACCCTAACTTAACTCTGATGCCATGTCACATATAGAAATTTTTTGATATTTGCAACCATAGTAAAACAAAGACTTATATTTTTGATATTTATTTTATATATTTAAATGCCATTTAACAAAGAAAAATCAACCAAAAAAATGAGTTCGCGTGTCACCACGCGTGTCATAGGTTGGCCATCACTGGGATAGAGCGTCGGCCTGCGGACTGAAAGGTCCCAGGTTCGATTCCGGTCATGGGCATGTACCTTGGTTGTGGGCACACCCCCAGTAGGAGGTGTGCAGGAGGCAGCTGATCGATGTTTCTCTCTCATCGATGTTTCTAACTCTCTATGCCTCTCCCTTCCTCTCTGTAAGAAAAAAACACAATAAAATATATTAAAAAAAAAAAAAGAATAGTTGAAGTTTGCCAGGACCTGTAGGACAGTGGCAACTGGATCTGGGGACCAGCTCACTGGCCAAGACTCAGATATCCTCCTGAGAGGGGAAGGCATGGAGGGACTGTAGGGGAAGCCAATCAGTGACTCTAGCCTGCATGATGGAGGACTTTATCAGGGCATTTAGGATTTTGAAGATTACCCAACAAGTTATGGCGAATTATTAAATGCTAGAGCTATTAAAGCAAGAATGTAAATGATTAAATTTATGTTTGAGAAAGGTCTCCCAGGCAGGAGGGCAGAGAAGGGGTCAGACTCTAAGCAGTGATGAGAAGGTGGCTATAGCACAAGTCCCAAAGGAATGGACTTGACCATGACTCAGAAATGGAGCAGACAGAGCAGCATGATGTAGAGTGGACTAAGGGGGCCCCGCTTGGCTAAACAGTGACCCCAGTGAACAAGAGGAAATACAGGACAGGGAGGCTATAGAGCATGAGGTGTCCAGTGGGAGCCTAGGGAAGGGGCGATGGTCCAGGAGTCTTGAAGGATTTTGTCAGTCAGAGGAGGAAGGGTCTGAGCCAGGTGCAGGAGGAGTCAAGGCCTCAGGTGTCCAAACGCATGGTGTGTTCAGAGGCAGTGTGTGGACTGGTGAGGCCAACTGTGGACTTAGAGCAAGAAAGGGGTCCCCAGCAGTCACTTAGACTGGGGCGGACCCCTGTAAGAATAAGTAGAGGCTTTATTTAGAAGGTTCTGGGGAGCTCCTGAAGATTTTCCAGCAGAGGGAGAAGTGACAAAGTCAGATGTGTGGATGAGAGACTTGCAGAAGAGGCTGCAGACCAGCCAACGGTCATTCAGCTGAGCTGTGATGCAAATAAGAACAGATATGGCGGTAGCACAGAAAGGCAATGACAGCTTTGAAGGCCACTCTGAGCCTGAGGAGATGTGGTCACTGATTCAGGCCAAGGGAGATCCAGTCCTGGATTATGGGGTGAATATGATGCTGTAAAGGAAAGGACCACATAAGCCAGAAAGTCTGGAGGAGAAGGACAAGGAATGAGAACTGATCTAGAGATAATGAGGTCACGATGTTCTATGCAATGCTGCAAAGTGGATGGGGAGCTCAGTGGAGCCAGATGGCTGATTGAGATGAGGGCTGGTTCAAAACATTCTAAGAACTCAACTAGAGTAACTGTTCATGGAGAGGGCAGTAAGAGCACCTCAGTGCTGCGTCGGGACTGTCAGTTACCCACCGGGGCTCCGTGGAACCAGTGCTGAGTGGGCCTGACGATAAAACGGAGCCCTTTCCAGTGGCTACTTTCATAGACTGTGCTATGGTGCATACTCCACTGTCCTAAAGTGGGACACAGACCCTTGCCTCCTGTCCCTCCCAGGACCAGCCTCCCGAGCTCATCAGTGGTTGATGCACCTACTCTGGCGGTAGAGTTCAATAAATCTCTTCTGATACTGTATTAGCTCGGCTCGGCTGGGCACTTCATCAATCTTGCGATGCAGAATTGCTATTTCTCGATTTCTTCTAGCCTAAATGCAAAAGGGAGGGTGAGACAACACTATTTGATAAAAGGCCTTATGTGTTTTCTAGGGAGCCAAAACACTGCCTGCCACCCACCCTGAGCACAACCACATGTCCTGGAATGCAGGCCCCAAATTCTGCTGTTGGCTTGAAGTCCCTGTCTCAGATTCTGAGTTTGCAATACACGGAGAAGGTGTGACTGCGATTGGAACCCCAGAAGGCATCAAATTAATGGATAAGGAAGGAGGATAAGGAATGGGATGGGCTGTGTGGCCAGAGCACCCAGCCAGCCTACTAGGCCCTAAAGGACTCTAGAGTAGCCAATCCCACCAGCACCAGGTGACAAGGAACTGATGCCTCCTTGCTGCCTCCGTATAAATTCCAAATCCCTTCACCTGACTGAAAGACTCCCACAGCTGAAACCTAAAACACCTCTCCAGTATTTCCTCTCTATCATGGACTAGGGTATATTGCAAAGTGCCTCTCTGACTGCATCTGGGGAGACACAGCAGTGCGGTGTGGTGCAGGGGAGCTCAGAGGCTCCTGAGGCAGGCAGCTCTGAGCACCACCTTCCCCAGCAGGGCAGCTGCCTGGGGGAAGTCGCTCAGCTCCCCCTCCACATAAGTGGGCTGCCTTTCCTCTGTGCCAACCTGTCCTCCACTCCCCAGGCCCGCTTCACTCACAACGGCAGAGGTGGATCTCCATATCACTGGGGAAATATGAGCCTCCAAATAGAAGCCCACCAGCCACTCTGGTACGAGGGGAAGACGTATTTCTCCTTTTGGCCAAGGCTACATCCCCAATGGGTGCTCAGGCTCTGACTCCTGTTTTTATTTTAGGAATCTAAAGATACTCTTCATTCTTTTTCATATATCTCTAACCTCTGCCTTTCTACTGCCTCCCTCTCACCAGTACTTAAATATGTTCAAGCACCTCACTCTTAAAAATAAAAAAAGCCCTGCCTGCCTGACTGGCATGGCTCAGTGGTTGAGGGCACATGCCCAGGTTGAGGGCTTGTTTCCCAATGTGGGGCGTGCAGGGAGGTAGCCGATCAATGATTCTCTCTCATCATTGATGTTTCTCTCTCTCTCTTTCCTCTCTGAGAATCAATAAAAACACATTAAATAAAATTTAAAAAGCCCTTCCTTAAACCCTAATCACATTTCAGCTGCCAGCCTTTCTCCTTTGAACAGCCAAACTTCTTGAGAGCCACATACCTTTGTTCCTCTAACTCCCCACTTCCCTCCAGTCATCATTCACCCCACACTCCAGCTGGCTTCTTCAAAGACCCGCCCTGAAACTGTTCTTGCCAATGTCATCTTTTTTGCAATACGGCCAGCAGGCAATTCTCAGCTTCTAGCTTTCTTGACTTCTAGCAACACTTACCATTCTCTCTACTGAGCTCTCTGCTCAGCTCCCATGAGACCTTGTGCTCATGTTTTCCTTGCCTTGGGCTGCCCATCTGGTCTGAACAGCTGCCTGGAAGAAGTCGCTCAGCGCCCCCCATTTCCAGTCTCAGGACTAAGTGGGCTCTTGCTTTATGACTCCTGCTTTCCCTTGGTCTCTTCTTAGAGGGCTTAGTCCCAAGGCCTCTTCTTGGCCTACATTTCACAGCCTTGATAACCACATACACAGTGCTGACACCTGACCTCCAGTCCAGACTATGCTGAGCATCAGACCCAACACCCATCACTTCTTGGACATTTCTATATAGTTGAATAACCCAATCTTTTAAAAGCCCCAAACGGATCTCACTTAACACTTAGTCACACTCCCACCCCCTTTAGCCCTAGTCTTTCTCCTTTAATGCTTTTTCTCAATGAATAACACAGGTATCCACCCTACTGCCCAAGGCAGAAACCAGAGCACCATCCCTGACTCCTCTTTTTCTCTCACCTATCAATCAGTTCCATTGGATACAGCTCCCCAATCTCTCCCCTGTGGTTCATTTCTGTCCATCCCACCAATCCTTCCCTGCTTCAGGCCCTTATGATTTCACTGCAGCTTCCCTCTAGCCAGTCTGAAGCTATACAGTTTGCAATTTGCATATAAGCTCCCTTGTACTTCGATGTATGGACATATCTTGGTCCAGATCTTGGTCCTCAAAGAACCAGCCAGCTCCCAGAAAATGGGCCATCCCATTTTCTATTCCTGGGACCTAATGCAACACTAAATATAGAGTAATGACACAGTAAAAAAAAATTCCAAATACACAGCTGTACTGTCCTGATTTTAATTAATTCTGTGTCTCTTTAAAGATTAGTATAGTGCCCTTATATCAAGGACAAATTTGACTCAACTGAATTTAACCTAACAGTTCAGCAAGTAAGAGCCAGAGATAGGAAAAACAGGTCCCACAGGCCCCCATTACCTGTTGGCCATTCCTGCCAGAACCTGCCTTCCCTTCCCAGAGAACAGAAAGAAGGCCCGGGCCAGAGTGCAACACAACTTGATCCTTGGATTCTGAGCTGCCGTGAGCCAGGTCTTGGCAATGTAAGGGACTGTCCAATGTGATTCAGACTCTATGTGAATTTGGCTTCAGAGCCAACTTTAAAACCTACATCCTCCATATCTGATGTCCTCATACACCTCCAAGTTACCCACTGAGACAGAGAAGTGGGCACTTAGTTTTAGAGGAAACTATTAGACAAGAACACAAGAACCTGAAAGCTGGCTCTGGCACTTACCAGATGCTTGATTGTGGTCAAGTACTTAATAGAGTTGAGTCAATTTCTTCACATAGGAAATGAGGATAATACCCCCTCTCCACCCAGGGTGAGGGCCAAATCAAACAAGATGACAGTGAAAGTAACATACCCGCATAAGGCCTTATTACCAACACCTTAAACCACTGAGTTACTCTCCAGAGAGAAGGGTAGCAAACAGCAGCCTAGTACTGAGTCTCTCTGGTTCTCAGACTGAAACTCTCAAGTTCTGCTGCAGACGTTTGTACCCAGCTAGACGCATTTATGTAATTCTGTGCTCTTGCTTTTACTCACCTGTAGTAAGCGGATCTTATAAAGTTTCTCTTTCTCCATATTGTATCGTCTGTCTAGGTCTTCCTAAAAATTGAAAGAGGACAGTTATCTGGGAATAGAGAACTTTCATTCCTTGATGAAATCTTCTGAAGTTGAATGCTTTTTACCTTTTCTCCCCAATCCTGAGGCCCCAAATTTCTTTTCTCAAATGGCCAAGTTAAGAGTCTGCATCCTATGTCATGTGAGGCCTTCGACACCCTTTAACATCCCTTTATAACAATTCTTCCTTTTTCTGGGATCCAGGCTGGAACCAGTGTTTTTTAGGGAAATATCTCCCAAATCCATGTGCCCTTCCCTCTCCCACACCAAAACCAAACTATGAGGAGGAGACGATCATGACTTGAAGAACCTCTTGTGTCTGGAGGTGATGCTGGTTTGCTTTCTATGTTTCTATTTGGAACTGCACTGTTCAATATAATAGCCACTAGCCACATATGGTTATTTAAATTAACTGAAATAAAAAGTCAGTTTCTCAACTGCACTAGCCACATTTCAAGTGCTAGTAGCCACATGTAGCTAGTGGCTACTGTATTGGACAGTGCAGATACAGAATATTCCTGCCACTGTGGACAGTCCTTTTGGATAACAATGAATTAAGAGAGAAAGTAGCCAGTTCACTGAACCCAATGAGGTAAGAGACATTGCTAGGTGGTTTGCTGAGTTAGAGAAAGCTACAAGGGGGCTAGAAGTGTCCCCTACCCAATGCGTGTGCATGCATGCGCGCGCGCGTGCACACACACACACACACACATACAGAGAGAGAGAGAGAGAGAGAGAGAGAGAGAGAGAGAGAGAGAGAGAGAGAGAGAGAGAGAGAGAGAGAGAGAGAACACAGTCTCCTCCACAGGGCTCAGCTGTAGGCAAACCCCACAGACTTCATAGTGGGGTCCTGAAGCTCATGCTCTAAGGGCACCAAGGGAAAAGAAACCCTAAAGAAGGAAAACGATTAGAGGCTTTCCTGCTTCTCTCTTCCTCCTCCTCTCCCTTTTCTCTTTCTCCTGAAGGTTTCCTGGGGTGCTGGAGTCCTGGAAGCATTAGTTTAACTCAGCACAGAGGTCAGCAAACTGCAGCCCAAGAGCCAAATCTGACAGCCCTTAGACCAAATCTGCCTCTGCCTATTTCTGTAAGTAAAGCTCTATTGGAACACAGTCACATCCTTTGATTTACCTACTGACTATGACCATTACAGTGGAGGGGCGCACAAAGCTAAAAATATTTACTACCTGGCCCTTTATAGTTTGCTGACCCTGGAATGTAGTTCAATAAAGACAGGTGTTCTTCCCTCCCACCAACCTCCCCCCCCCCCCCCCCCCCCCCCCCGAGCCTAGGGGTTGTGACCAGCTTGTACGGCCAATGCAGGCTTCCCCTTTCTCAGCAGAGGTGCCAGATTAAAGACAGCACTCCTGCACAAGGTGCTAGGAGAAACCCTCCCTAGAATGGTGGCCTTCAAGGCCAGCCCTGGTGAGACCCTGCCTCCATCTGAGGGACCAGGTGTGCAAAATGGGTCAATGCTCCCAATATTCCAGATGAGGAGATGGCCGTAGAGAAAATGAAAGCAGGCATGAGAAAGTGTCACAGGAGAGTATAAAGCTGGCCACCACACCTGCAGAGAACACTGGCAGGCCTGATGATGGGAAGGTACTTACATTATGAGTCATCATGGGGGTGAGGGCATCATTCGGCTCTCCACTGGAGAGGGTCTGAAATGGTAAACAGTAAGAAACAACTCACAGGAAGGCAAATGCGATAGAAGCTGAGGGTCTAGATGTAGGAAGGAGTGGTGTGGGGGACAGTTCACCAACCATGTCTGATCAGGGAACTGAAAGGGAACAGTCCTATATGAGCCCCAGATTTTAAATTGTTCTTAAATGTCTGTCAGTTACAAATAAGCTAACCTTGTCTTTGAATGTAATAATCCTTCTAAGGAGATGTGATTGATGAGAAGAGAAACGGGATCCTAAAAGTCTGTGATGTATGCAAACTCAGAAGCTGACTGAGCTGACGATTTGAGCCTCAAAGGTTCAAAATTTTAGTAACAACTGGAGAGGCGACCGTGTGATGATAGTCCCAGGACACCATTGCCCGGCACAGACACACTCTGCTATTCCCCCTTCTCACAGGAGGGGAGAGTAGTGTGGTCTGGCTGAAATGACATGCCAGGCAGGCGGCATGGCATCTCCCTGCTGATATGGCAGCGTCCCTCTCAGTCCCTAAGCAAAGGGCCTGAGAGCGCTCCTGCCAATTGGCTTGCACAAGTTTCTTCCCCTCCCTGAGCCCCAAGTTCCTTATTTTTATGAGGCAGATGGTGCAATCGATGAGTTCTGAGACCATGTCCAACTCTCACACCCAAGCACATGGGTGCTCAGGAAATAAGCCTTGAATCAGGTGTGAGAAGGGAAAACAAACACAGCAGTGCTTATACTGGTGAGAGACTTTTTTCTGTCCTTGCGCTATAATTTAATGCTTGATGGAAACCCACACTAGCTCCTCAGGAGACCTAGTCTTTGTTCAGAGAGCCAGGCATGCCCTTCAGTGCAGGAAGCTTCTGCTGCCGGAGCTCTGATAGTAACCCAGCACTGCTCCCCTGCTTCTGCTCAGTGCTGCCTTCTAAGGGTGGGGCATGTCCCTAGCAGGAATGGAGGGTGAAAGGAGTAAGGTGGTCCTAAATTTAGAGAAGAATAGGTTGAGTGGGAAGCAGAGCTCAGGCAGTTCCTGAAAACACCCCTTCCCTGAAGGAGGAAGAGGAAGAATTATAATCTGGCCATTCTCGTTTGGAGTAGCTGCCGTCCACACCCACTGCTGTCTTTCACCCACCAGAAGGAAGAGAAAGGAGAGGGATAGAAATCTAAATAAATCATGTGATGAAACCAGCTGAGAAATGTGCGCTCAGAGGACCAGGTTAAGGAAACTTGTCTTTCCAGCCAGTCCTTTCGCTGGTTAGTCCTCCATGAAACTTTTCAATCTGAGCATAACAGCGCCTCACAGTTCGAGGACTCCTGCAGGGCCTTTACCTTTACTTCTCCACCTGGAGCTCTCGCTGCTTTCAGGTTTTCAATTTCCTGCTGTAGCCGTGTCATTTCCTCCTTCAAAAGGGATACAAATGTTTATGAAACTTGGGCAAGCTAGAAACTGGATGCACTTTTTAACCTGACCCAGAGTCTTATTTTCATATTTTGTGAGTTTATGTTAAGACAAAAAGTCTGTTAGGAACTAGCTGCCCTGATCTCCAACTTTCAGTCTGGGAAAGTTTTTTTCAGGAGGTTACACAGAGCTTGCAGGGCTGCACCTCCTGCCTCCTGCTGGTCATGAGCACTTGTGCACCCATCACCCCCACTACTAGACACCAAGTCCTCAGATGGCAGAAACAGGACTTACACACCTGACGAATAGATATCCCAGGTTTTCAGGACATCCCTGCTTTTATATAATATTATTCCTTTATATTTGATAAGACTTTTCTTTTAAACATTTATAAATTAGAAAATATTGTTTGTAAGACTGTTTGGCACACCCGGTGTCCTCAGAGGGTACCTACCACAGTACTCTATTCATCTTACACAGCTGTTTGAGGAATTTCCTTCTTTCTTTTGTTGTTGTTGTTAATCCTTACCCAAGGATATTTTCCCACTGGTTTTTATAGAGTGGAAGAGAGGGGGAGAGCAACATCATCAATGTGAGAGACACATTGATTGGTTGCCTCCTGCACATGCCCTGTCTGGGGCCGGGGATCGAGCCTGCAACCAAGGTATGTGCCCTTGACCGGAATCGAACCCATGACCCTTCATTCCAAGGGCCAAAGCTCTAACTGAGGAGCCAAACACCAAACCGGCTAGGACAGGAATCTCCTTTTCTGACTGCACCTGGATAGGATGCCACATCAGGACAAGGGGAGGGAAAGCAAGAGATTTTACAAGATTCCTGGCTTAATGTCTGCTGACACCAAGCAACACTTACTCGACAATGTGCTTTAAACTCCTGTTCCTGGCTTTTCAGGTTTTCATTCATGGCTACAAGTGCTCTCAAGTTCTGCAGAATACTGAAAAGACCAAAAAATGACATATGGCAAGCTATTATGATTTTATGAATCACAGCTAAAATCAAGTCCCCAGATAAAAAAGGACTCCCTTTTAATTTCCTCTGTCTCTCCCAAGTGTCTAATGGGTTCTCCACAAGTGATTAAGACTGGCATTATTATTCATTTATATGCCAGACTCCATTAGCTGCATCCAAACAAACATTACAGAAACCAGAATTAAATGTCAACTGCAGAAACATCAACGAATTTCAAAATACTGGATATACTTAATGATACCAATTACTCAATCGTATTCAAAGCATAGACAGTATAGAAAACCATTTTTAATATTCATTCTGAAAAGGAAACATGTTGCTTAAGGTCATTAAGCACACTAATTTGAATATAAGAATGTCAAGTATCTAATAGTACTTTTGCTCCATATCATGACAGAGGGCTTTCTAATTATAAAGCCAAGTAAGCTGTGGGCACTTCCTTGCTAAAATGTCCATCGAACCCAGAACCGCTCAATCTGGGCCTGAAGCTTAATGATCTAACTATCTTATTCAAGTGAGTGACAGACACTTCAGAGATTTCACCACCCAAACAGCTTCGTGACATCAAATGTAAGTGCTTTATCTGTATAATTTAAATAGTCTAAAGACAATTAATTTAAAATGGAAAAAAAAAAATCCCACACAAAAAAACCAGAGGCTGATTTTTGGCAGAAAAAATTGCATCTTTACTCCCAAGGAGACACGGCTAAAGTGAGTGCTGTTAACAACTGGTAACAATGGTTGACTCCTGGGTGTCTGGGGGATGCGGGGGGAGAGATAGACTTTTCACCATATGCCTTTGTGTACTGTGAATGTATTACTTAGTTTTTAAAAACAGAAAAATGAAAAAATAATTAAAACTCCAAACATATTGCTTCTGATCCCCAGGGCAACTGGGAGGAACAGGCAGCCCAAGCACATCTCAGCATGTGCCTGAGCGACAGGCACATTCTGGGTAGCACATGAGATGAAGTGACCTGTACAAGGACAAAAGCATAACCCCTGCTCCTTAGTCCTGTAAGCCAACCAATTAAGCCACCAGGTACTGGCAAAGTCCCTTTCTTCAGAGAAAAGAAACACATGCTGAAACCTCTTACCTTGGATCTGCTTTGGATTCTATCTTCTCGAGGGCTGCCTGTTCCTTGTCCAGTTTCTCATTATGACTCTTCAACTGCAAGAGAGAATGGAGGCCTTGTTGCTAGAGATTTGGTAACACAGAAGAGGGAGCGCTGCCATTCTCCTTCCCCTTGGTTCCACCTGAACTCCACTTCTGACAGGTGGCTGAGCCCACAGGATTTAGCTGTACATTGAGAAAACAGGTGAAGAAAAATAGGATGGGGGTGGAGGGAAAACATGGGAAGGTCAAAATCAAACCCTTCCTGACACATACTGCTGGTTAACAAAACCTTGGCAACAACTTTCAATCAAGAAGCAAATGGGTAAAAAGTCAAAAGTACTGTTGACAGCAGGTGCCTTTCAGTAGGAAGGGAGAATAAAAGGAGTGGCTGTGAAAGACAGACCTGGGTTTAAATTTCAGAATGTTAACATCATGGCTATTAAGAGTCTCCTATCTTCTTGAATAATTTCACCTCCATTTTGAGTCAGATTGTGAGGTTTTTAAAAAAGAAAATTTGAAAAATAAAGTATAAATTAAAGTGTACAACTATATTATATAATAGAATACTAACATGCTACTAAAAATGATGCAGTTTTTATGATGATCTCTAATATCTACTATTATGTGAAGAAAACAAGGTACAAAACCATAAGTACAATATGATTCCAATTAGTATAAAGAATGTATACATTAAATGTATACATGTATAAAAGAATGTGCAGGTTACTTATATATGCATACATTACTTCCAGAAAGATTCCTAAGAAGCTGGTCACACTATCGTCACCTCTGGAGAAGGTAATTGTGTGGCTGAGTTCCTGGAGTGCACCCTTTGTATCTTTTGAATTTTGAACCATGTGAATGTGTTACCTATTCAAAAGAACAACTTAAAAAAAAGTTCCAAGGATTCTAGTTGAAAATGAAGGACCAAGTACAAGTTGCAGTAACCCCTTCTTGCCTCAGGTCCTAAAAATCCAGACTATTATGTTGGAACAAGGGACAAGAAAAATGGCCAAGAGACAGAGATGGACTGAGGAGGCCTACTTTGTGGAATAGCAGATGCAGAAGGTCTGATATGCATCAAGAACAGCCAGCTGGGTCAAGCAACATGGCCCTCAACCCATGAGGTAATTCAAGAGCTGGTGCTTGAGTCACAGAGGCAGGGCAAGGCCCCAGAGTCGACAATACCCAGGAGAAAAGGTGAGTTCTCCAACCCCGAATATTAGTTACCACCGGCTGATCCCACCAAGAGTAGGACCCACCCTTCCAGAATAATCACATGAAGCAAGCTGCATAAAATAGATACAGAATCTACACGATCCATAAAAGGAAATTTGATAATCAAAGATAGGCATATCATAAAAAATTATCAAACATTTGAAGAAAGATAACGTCATAAAAAGATGTATCAACTCAACATGAATTCTGATCTGAAGAAATAGTTTATAAGAAAAACTTCAGACAATTAATGTCCTTAGAGAGACAGGACAGGATACTGCTCGTATTAGAAAGGCTCAAGCTCACACATAGGAAATTACAGTTGTGATTACTGAAATTAAACAGTGGACAGGCTAGATAGAACCTGGCAGCCAATGCAGGGGCCAGCCAGTCTCGGGTCTTCTTACAACGGTGTGCAGCCTCCCCCACAAATTTTATTTTATTTTTATTTAAAAAATATTTTTATTATTTTATAGAGGAAGGAGGGAGAGGGAGAGGCAGGGAGAGGGAGAGGGAGAAGGAGAGGGAGAGGGAGAGGGAGAGAGAGAGAAACATAAATGATGAGAGAGAATCACTGATTGGCTGCTTCTTGCATGCCCTACTGGGGATCAAGCACACAACCTGGGTATGTGCCCTTCACCAGAATTGAACCTGGGATCCTTCAGTCTGAGGGCTCAGGCTCTATCCCAGGGGTCCTCAAAAACAGGGGGCCAGTTCACTGTCCCTCAGACCGTTGGAGGGCCGGACTATAGTTTAAAAAAAACTATGAACAAATTCCTATGCACACTGCACATATCTTATTTTGAAGTAAAAAAACAAAACGGGAACAAATACAATATTTGTATTTGCATGTGGCTTGCGGGCCATAGTTTGAGGACCCCTGATATCCACTGAGCCAAACCAGATAGGGCCCCCCAGATTTCATATAGTCATCTGTCCTCTATCCATCATGCTCTGCTTTACTGGAAAGATGGGTCTCCCCATTTTTTTAGTGCCACTAGGTTATCCTGGAAGGGTAGCTTTTGCTGAAAAGGTAATACCTGAGAATACTGGTGAGAAGGATACAGAGTATGCACTTTGCCAATCTTTGCCTAGAATAGATAAGGAGACTGAGGCCCAAACATGAAGCTCATTATTAATCCAGGGGCCTGGTCTTTAGTACTCTGACCAAATCAGCCTCCTTCCTAAGTAGTTCAGAACTAGGTTTTGTAGAGCTTCCCATTTTTGTGGATGGGAATTAGTTTGACTGTCCCACTAGTCTCTGAGAGGTCTCTGGTGCCAGACTGCCAGCCTGGCCCTGTGCATGACCTTTCTGCCTTAGTTTCCCTATCTGCAGAACAAGGATGATAACAGTGTGTTGTTAGGGCTGTTGGGAAGATAAAATGGACTAATAAAAGTCACATGCCCAGAGCATACCCAGCACACACTAATGCTGGCTGCCATTATTATTTGAGGGTAGGAAGATTATCTTTTATCACTGACTTAAATCACAAGTCTACCTTTCTGAAAGGGGCTCAATAAATACTTGATTGATTTAATGTTTAGTACAAAAAGCCACTTTATAGCCACTTAGGATTTATATCCTAAGGCATATATGTGTTTTAGGAAATTGATATCAAGATGTTTTGTCTTTAATCTTTCCCAGATTGTTACAGAAAGACTGATCCATGACTTGGCAAAGTTCACGTTAGGGACTTTGCAGCATTAAAAGACAACATAGAAATTCCACCCCGGGAGTTTGCCATCTAATCCATAAGGAATGTAGTCACAGAAGAGTGGAAAGAAAGCTGATCCTAACGCAATGCAGGCATCTTTAGAAAGAATTTTAAACAATTTATTCTAATTGCCCCTTTTAAGCATTCTGACAATAATCAAAGAGTTTAGTCTAGGTCAGAATTAAAAAGCTTTGTCAGGTTTTCAGGCTTACAAGTGCTGCATATTGCTATATATAAGAATTTAAATGGGTAAATTTCATGTAAAATTTTAAAAAATAGGGACTGGTTTGATTCCAGAGATGTCTTTGAACATCAGTCCAGTTTCCACAGTCCAAAAAGTACTACGGGGGGCACTTGCAGTGAGGCCCTGTAGAGTACAGCCACAGCCTGAGCTCCCAAATCCCAGCGAGAGCTTTTCTGATCCAGATGAGGGTAGTTCTATGGGAATGCAAGGGGAATATCTCACTCCCCGCACAACAGAGCTGGTGTCAGAGGTATTTGTTTCCTAGGATATCAGACATGGGGGAAAGCAACACTCTAATGATGATGTGAGATGGTACACTTGTAACCTGGATTAGAAATGAATCACATGCTTCAAAATATACCAGTAAACCCTCTCTTTCTCCTGAGACACCTCCCCCACCCCACCCCACCCCACCCTACCCCACCCCACCCAATCCCATCCCACCCCACCTAGGCTTACTCAGTAATTTTGAACAACAAACTATATCACTCTGATTCTCTCGTATTACAAACAGAAACTGCCTTACTCTCATGGAATTCAGTATTTGGAACTATTCTACAACTTGCAGCTTGAGGAGCAGGGGCCAATTACTGTGAATGACCCCTCATGTTTTTCTATGTGGCCTGCCCCCGCCTATGTAGCCTGCCTTCCTCAGCAAGCCAACTCAGTGATCTCTCCCACCTAAATGGTGGATGGGCTAGAACAGTGGTCGGCAAACTGCGGCTTGGCAAACCGTGGCTCGTGAGCCACATGTGGCTCTTTGGCCCCTTGAGTGTGGCTCTTCTACAAAATACTGACTTCTGCGCATGGGCCACGAAGTTTCAATTGCACTGTACGTGTGCGCCCGCATGTGGTATTTTGTGGAAGAGCCACACTCAAGGGGCCAAAGAGCCGCATGAGGCTCGCGAGCTTTGCCGACCATGGGGCTAGAACAGGGGTGGGCAAACTTTTTGACTCGAGGGCCACAATGGGTTCTTAAACTGGACCGGAGGGCCGGAACATAAGCATGGATGGAGTGTTTGTGTGAACTAATATAAATTCAAAGTAAACATCATTACATAAAAGGGTACTGTCTTTTTTTTTTTTTTAGTTTTATTCATTTCAAACGGGCGGGATCTGGCCCGCAGGCCGTAGTTTGCCCACGGCTGGGCTAGAACATGGAAGCATGGATAAACTTATGGCACGTATCAGGCACTGTCATGTGATTGTCCTATGCCCCCAAATGGACCTGAACCCCAAGAAGGGAATTATGACTCCTCCACACAGACGGATGACATGCGGCATTCATTAACAGTGTAGGTCAACATGACTCTTAAGAAGGCCCATGGAGGAAGGAAAATCTGCTCACCTCTGTCAGTGTTTTCTTCGTTTCATCGTATCTGGCTTGGAGAGTGGTATGATTTGCCTGCAGCTGTAAACGAAAGATAGAAGACATGGGCTCTCATTTGATCCTTACAACATGGATATGGGTGATATCCCCATTTCACAGATGAGAAAATGGAAGCTTAGAAAGATTTAAACTGAGCAAACATGGGAATTTTAGAAAGGCTGCCAACAACAAATAAAGAGAAAACTCATATATAATTAAAATCAAGTACAAGTCAGAAGATATGCTAGATATTCTGCATAAATCCTATCCTATCACTGAACCTTATATTCAATGGGAGAAGACGTTATCCTTTATCTTACAAATAAGGAAATAAAGACTCAGAAGGGTTAAGTGACTTGCTTTATAGCTGATAACTGATAAAGCCTGGATTTACATTCAGGTCTCATTTTTCTATATGGATACAGCTGATTCAGTTAACCAACTTGCCCATTCACAGAATACACACTGCATTTCAGCACTCAGGATTCTAGCACAGAATATGACTGGCTGGCAAATAACACAAGATAGAAGAAAGGATTTAGGACTTCAACACTAACAGAAAAAAAATAAATTACCTTTACGTTCAAAGTTATATAAATTGTAAACTTGCATCTCAAAAATGTAATTTCCCTTTTTCTTACTGAAACTTGTATATAAACTTCTGTATCTATAAAATTGTGCTATTGTGCTAACTATAAACTTGTAGAAATCTGAAAATGTTCCATAAAAGTTCAAAGGGTTTGTACGTTTCTATTTTTATTTTAATTTTTTTTTCTTTATTGATTAAGGTATTACATATGTGTCCTTATCGTCCCATTGCCCCCCACCTCCCCACTCATGCCCTCACCCCCCTGGTGTCTGTGTCCATTGGTTAGGCTTATATGCATGCATACAAGTCCTCTGGTTGATCTCTCCCCCTTCCCCTCACCCTCCCCTCTGAGGTTTGACGGTCTGATCGATGCTTCTCTGTCTCTGGATCTGTTTTTGTTCATCAGTTTATGTTGTTCATTATATTCCATAAATGAGTGAGATCATGTGAATTTATCTTTCTCTGACTGACTTATTTCACTTAGCATAATGCTCGTTTCTACTTTTGAAAAGGGGAAGTAGCAGACTCTGTTACCTGTGTACAAACTAACAATGAGAAATTTTATCCTATATCTCAAAAATTATGACAAAATAACTTGCCCATCCTTGAACCTGTAAGCAACTTATTGAGAATAGTATCATCTTCAGAAATCATGACTCCTCAATCATACTTCTAATTACCAGTCTTCAGACTGATGAATGGTTACACTTCAACAAGCCTACCAGAAAGCCAACTCAAGCAGAGAGCAGAAGGGATGAAGGAGGGAAGCAGGTGGGCTCTGGCTTCTTCCTTTTCAAAGGGAGCCACCTGTGTAATGAGAGCTTTTATTAACCTGTTTGTGTAATTGGCAGATGAGAATATTTCCGGAGAAAGTTCTTTGTTGTTGTTTTTTTCTCTTGAAATCCTAGTGATTTAACTCTTGATACTCTTTGGGGCTCCAGGAAGGGATCCTGGCATTTTCCCCGCCTGCTTCACCCATCATCCCGCCCCTCTCTCATCCCTGCACCCATACACCTGACATTTATCCAAAGCTCTGCTCAAATGAGGTGAGTAGGAGGAGACTTCGAACATGACACAGTCCTTGCCCTCAAGGAGCTGGACTAGTAAACTGGGGAGTAAAGTATGAGAAGAGCAGCAGCAAACAGGCCCAGGGGATGGATACCCAAGGAAACAGTCACATTACTCATCTGGGAATTCAAAGACGACTCACACAGGCTGGATCTTGGCAGGGAAGTAGATGTTGCTAAGAATGGAAGACTCACCTCTCCTCCAATTAATTTAACTACCAAGGGTTTTCCTCATCTCATCTGACCATATTTACTTAAAGAGGAAATGTCTCCATAGCTAGGCTTAGTTTTCACCTTGCTCTAATCCTCCATGATTCTCCTATCTCCATTTTCTTGTTCATTAACCTTCATTTCCCTCCAAATTCAGCTGCTGGTTAATACTTCCATTTTGTTTTTAAGACTGTTTCTTTTTAAAATATGTTTTTATTGATTTTATAGGGAGAAGAAGGGAGAGGGAGAGATAGAAACATTGATCAGAGAGAATCACTGATCAGCTGCCTCCTGGGGATCAAGCCAGCAACCCGGTCATGTGCCCTGACAGGGAATCAAACTAGCAACCTCTCAGTTCATGGGGCGATGCTCAACCAACTGAGAAACACCAGACAGGGCCAATATTTTCTTTCTTTTTTTAAAAAAATATTTATTTTTATTGATTTCAGAGAGGAAGGGAGAGAAAGAGAGAGATAGAAACATCAATGAGAGGGTATCATTGATCAGCTGCCTCCTGCATACCACCGAGGATCAAGCCCGCAACCCGAGCATGTGCCCTTGACCAGAATCGAACCCGGGACCTTCAGTCCACAGGCCTATGCTCTATCCACTGAGTCAAACCGGCTAGCGCAATATTTTCTTTCTTGATTCCTCTTTCTTTCCTCAATCTCTGGTGTCTTCTGAGTTATCTACCAGCGGCACTGTAGTTCTGTGCCACTGCAAAATATTCTCTTGGTCCTAGACTTCCTGCCCAGCCAGTGCCTACTCATCAGGTCTCCCCTCAAGGTGCTATCTTGGCTCTCCAGACGCCTCCTTCAAGCACTTACCACAGATGTAACTAAATGAGGTGTGTGAATGATGCAGTGTATGTCTCCCATTATTACTTGAAGATCCTTGAAAGCAGGATCATAACTTGTTCTTCATTCATCCACACAGCCTAGTTTAGTTCTTAGCACACAGAGGTACTGAGTAAGTATTTGTGAATAAATGCTACTCTCTCACTGTGGCTCTCTATTCAGTGTGAACCAAAGAAGTAAGTGTGAGATGGACATACAAGGCCAGATGAGGTGGCCAGAGAGGCAGTTGAGGAAAGAATGGAAGGGACTAGGATTGAAGCTCTAAAGAGCTGGATTCTTACACAAAAGGCTTGTTGTTTGTTGCCCTGTGACTTCTGACAGATACAATCAGACACTATTAGAAGATGAAAACATTCTGTACACCAGCTAGCCTAGAGGTGAGCAACCTTTTGTAGCAGGGCAAATTTAGGGAGAGTATCAAAGTTTAGAAGCTTCAGATTTTTTTTGATAGGACATTTCAAATTAAAATGGGTTTATTTAGCAAGTAACTAAAAATGTATATTCTTATAGCTCAAATAATTTTTTGGGAAAAAACGTTTATGAAAATTTTGATGTTGATTTTAAATCTTTATAAAATATTCACATCTAGGCTTATTTAAAAACATTCTCATCTTTGGTGTCTTACGTTTGCATAAAGCTTTGGTTCATTGAAAAGTGCATGCCTGTTTATCTTTTCATTTTGTCCTTAAAGCAATCTCTCTAGGCACATGTTTATCATCATCTGAGACCCCCCAACCTCATACGTGCTATGTGACCCTGATTAAATCTCTATGTCCCTGCCTCATTTTCCTCATCCAGTTGGCCTAGCTACATAGGCAGAGGTTATTGCACGTGCTGGGCATCTTTAGTAACACCAGCCACTGCAATAATGATCTTTGTCCTTTACTGACTACATGTTAGGCAGTATTCAAAAAAATACAGGCTCTTGGTAAACAGGTTCAGAGAGGCTGCCCTTTCACCTGGACTACGAATGTGCCAAGATTGCACTGGAAGGAGGGCTCACGGCATTCCTTCTCTCCAAGTTTAGACAGGAGTTGAAAGAAAACATCTACTCATGCTAAGACAATGTGGCTCATGGGGTCTGCAATATCCCTCAAACTGTCCTTCCTCAGAGGATAAAGACATTCGGATGGATAAAGCCTCATCCTTGATTCATGCTCATTTGATTCTGTGCTGAGTCCTTTTTGAACCAATCACTTTCAGGTTCTTTTCACTGGCAAGGGTCAGGGGTAAAGATAATACTTTCTGTGCTGTGAATTAAAATGCTCAAACAAATTATCAAATGAAAACCAAATCACAGTCCACCTTGAAATCCTTGTTTGCTTATGATACAGAGCATTTGGTAAATCCAGCCTACTGTTTTTTCAGCTGTGGTAGAACAAATTCAATCAAAGAAATGAATGGGTAGGACCATTTGATATACAATGTGGGATTTGAAAAGATGAATAATATATAAGTTCATAATGCAAATGGGCATCCATTTTTGGAAAATCAATTGTTATAGGAACTACTGGTGAACTGTTCTTTAGAAAGCCATATTCATTCCCATCTTCTACTACATGTATTTTCCTAATTAAATATTATTGCCAATGCAACTGAAGCATGTAACATTTTGTCTTCTAATGACTGTTCCTGAGTCAAACTCCCCAGCTTCCTCTTATGCCTACTTTTCAAGAATATGTGAAGGTCTTTCTAAAACAGTTTCATCTATCATCAAGTATTACAGAACACCATCTCCTAAAGCTCTCTTAAAAATGATCTGGTTTCCTCTATTTCCCCTATCACCACTAGTCAAAGCCACAAAAACTCATGTCTGGACCACTGGATCAGCCTCCCAATGGTTCTCCCTAAACCCCTTCTCACCCACATCCAATGAACTCATGTTCCTACAGCAAACAGAATGGTCTTTGAAACATGCAAATCGGATTCTGCTACTCTCTTACTTAAAACCTCCAGTGGCTTCCACTGTCCTTAACTTCACCTCAGAGATCTTGTCTGATCATGTTCTGCCAACCAGCTGCCTCACTCATGATTCTCCAGCCACAAAAGAGATACTGGCCAAGACCCATCCTCTTTCAGGTCTTAGTTCATGTTACTGCATAAGCCCTCACCCAAGCCCCACACCTCCCACGCAGACTTCCTGCCCAGCCAGTGCCTACTCATCAGGTCTCCCCTCAGGCGCTATCTTGGCTCTCCAGAAGCTTCCTTCAAGCACTTACCACAGATGTAACTAAATGAGATGTGTGCATGATGCAATGTATGTCTCCCATTATTACTTGAAGATCCTTGAAAGCAGGATCATAACTTGTTCTTCATTCATCCACATAGCCTAGTTTAGTTCTTAGCACACAGAGGTACTGAGTAAGTATTTGTGAATAAATGCTACTCTTGCCCTGTGATCTTCTAGAACAGAGGTTGGCAAACTTCTTCTGTAAGGGGCCAGATAAACTTTACTTACAAAAAGAAGTGGAGGATGGATAGGCATAAGGGCCACAGTATGCTGACCCCTGTCCTGGAACCTCCTTCGACCATTCTACCACAACAATCTTAACTCCTTCCCCAATTTTTACCTTCATGAAGAATAGTTTCATTTTACATAAATAAAATTATAAAAAGAAAACACCAACCTCTTCCAGATGTTTGGTCTTCTGAAGAATCTGCTTGTTCAAGGAAATGACTTTTCGACGATGAAGTTGGGAGGTTCCTATTTTTTCTGGACTTTCTTCAGCTGATAGCTCAGACTGCTGTGGAAAACAGGGAGGGCAAATCCAGAAGATTTAATTAGTCCACCTGAGTTCATGTAAGATAGCTCCATCCCTGCTCATTCTGGGCAGAGCACCACTGGTTCCCGTGCAAACCCTAGGTCCAGAGAAGTAGACTGGCACAATGATCCATCCCTATCAATGGGATCTGCATCCATGGCAGAGGGAATGGCATGTGCAGAGCACAGGAATATGTAACAGTGGTTTGTTGATATCATACAGGCAATGGGGCATCATCCAAGGGTCTTAAATAGAGGAATAACATCATCACATTAACATCTTTAGAATACAATTCTGGAATTGTCAAGAATGATGAACTGATTCACTTTCATAAAGTATTATAAGCATACTAGAGGCCCAGTGCATGAAATTCGTGCACTGGTAGGGTCCCTAGTGACTGCCGGCTGCCAGCTGGGTACTCCCTTCTCCCCCCGGCCAGCCCCGCCCCTGGTCAAACTCCCAGATGACCTCCCGGTTGAGGGGACAATTTGCATACTATGCTTTTATTATAGAGGATGGTTAAAAAGTATAACCAGTCAGAAACACTTTAATGAAAAGCAACATTCTCCCAACTTATTTCTCCCCCACCCATGGGCACTTTTAACCATTTCTTATTTCTCTTTTTCTGGTGTTCACAGAGCATAGATTTGAGAGGGATAAAAGTTGCTGATAGAGGTCAGTAGGAAATTCCAGAAATTATATAGGTGAGGAAGGGATGAAGAAGAAAGGTTGGACAGACACAGAGACTGTCATAAGGGAGAGATTTCTGGATCAGGTGAGGAAAATGTAGCAACATTACTGGGAAATCACACAAACAAGGAAGCAGCCTGGTGTAGATACGGAATACAAATACATGCCTCCAGACCCCACTGAGAAGCCCCGCAAAAGAAACAAAAAAGCTGACCTTGTGGCAACAGGTATACTTAGAATACTTGTTGGATGACCATAGATAACTTTATTAAACAGTTAAATGCCCATTTAAACCACATTTCCTTTTTTTATGGAAGCATCCCAATTCCAAGTGAATCACTGACTTTAAACCTAAGTACAACAACACAATTTGGGTATTTGATTTTTAACAGTGATCATGACCTTGAAAGTCTGGAAGACTTACCCATGGGGAAAAAGAGATGGGAAAGTGAGAAAGAGGAGAAATTAGATGGCACAGTCATCATTTATTTTGGCTAAGGACTTTCCTGAAGAATTCAGCAGCATTAACAGATGATGAGTTTTGTTTTGTTTTGTTTTGTTTTTGCTCCTTAACAACTCTGGAGGTAGGAAACAATCAGCAGGACATGGTTGCATAAAATCGTAAGAAACATCATTTTCTATTTTGTGGGCAGGCCATAAACGAAGCATTTGGTTTTGTAATATATCTAGCCTTAAAATCTGGGATTTTGGAAAATGTCAAGTAACGTATTCCAACTTATCTGGATTTACTGGAATTGGAGTTACCTTTTAAAGATGCAATTGGGCACAAGATAGCCACAATCTGGAGTCTGGGGAAGAAGAACTGTTTCTGAAAATCATTTGAGTACAAAAAAGGGGAGGAAGAGGAAAGACCAACCCTTCTCAATTTTCAAATCACTTGTTAGAAACAGAATTACGTATAATTAACTAATTACATCTGCTATACTTTGACTGCATCACCCTAAACCAGCCGTGGGCAAACTACTGCCCGTGGGCCGAATCCGGCCCGTTTGAAATGAATAAAACTATTGAAATAAAAGACCGTACCCTTTTATGTAATGATGTTTACTTTGAATTTATATTAGTTCACACAAACACTCCATCCATGCTTTTGTTCCGGCCCTCCGATCCAGTTTAAGAACCCATTGTGGCCCTCGAGTCAAAAAGTTTGCCCACCCCTGCGGGCCTAAACTGTGTGCTATATATTTAGTAGCTTTTCTCTTGTAGATAATTTCAGATTTGGGTTTTAACACCAAATTAGATTCCTTGATCTTGATTTCTAAAGTGTCACTGGAATATCCTCAAGGCATTTTACCTTACTAGCAGAATTACGTAAGCCTTATTCTCATGATTTATTGACATTTGAAATAGAATTAATTCCCCATTCACAGGAACTATCCCACATGGCATGTCTCTATGTTTGCTTTTCGGATCCTCTTGAGTACCCTGATCTCCTCCAGCTGCCTGTCTGGCTTTGGAGCAGACCAAGCTGTGGGCAGACAGGCTCTGGGGGATCAGTGTCTCCCTCCCCTCCCAGACTCCTTTCTGCAGGAGTGAGCACACATTCATCCAGCACTATTCTGCACTTGGGCATGGGCTGGATATGTCTTCAACTCTTAGCAGGTTTACCCACTTATTAACTGAATTTATGGCCTAGGTTCCAAGAGAATGAAAACTGCATTTTCCAACAGGTTCCACACCCTCTTATCAGTATACCTGGTACACACACAGCTTTGTTTTAACCCGTTAACTGCCATGTGTCCGAAACAGAAATCATCCCCATTTCTTCCATATGCGCTGGAATATTTACGAATTTAAGTTACCATAATTTTCTTTACAAATGGCTGGCTATTTCTCCTTCCTCCCTCACTCCCTCCCTCCCTCCCTTCCTCCCTCCCTCCCTGCCTTCCTCTCTCCCTCCCTCCCTTGCCTCTTTGTCTCTCTGTCTCTGTCTCTCATGATTTTACAGTGAAAGTTTTCAGAAGTTACATGACATGTGATATCATTGCTTTGATGTATTTATTATTGTCATTTGTGAATGAATTAATACATAAGCTATTGGGATCTCAGTAATTTTTAAGAGTTCTAAAGGGTCCTGAAACAAAATTTTGAGAACCATTACTTTAATCTAAGGGTCCTGACTCACTCAGGAGTTATGTATTGATCCCAATCATTGGAGTGGGCCCACCATCATTTATACAACATCCAGAGGAGAAAGTTCTTTCTAATTCCATTTTTTTACTAGACAGGTGATTCAGAGAACCATACAGAGGGAAAATACTTGCAGTGCACAGGAAGACTCAAAGTCTCTGTACAAATGTACTATTATATCTCTGTAACGATAATATATGTTCTCAGCAAACATAGGCTTTCAAAATCCTTTCTCTTATTGCTAGGTAGCAATTTTCATTGCTCTGTGCAGTCCCTTAAATTTGCATCTGCAAAGCTTTAATGTACACTAATATAGGGAAAGTAAGTGCCATTTCCATACCTGACATTTCTCGAGCCCAATTAAAATGAATACTGTGCAATGAACAGGTCCATAGTACATATAAATTTGTGAGTTCCTTCATTTGCTTTTGAGTCTAGAGATGGTGTTATGCAGCCCCAGCTTGTTTGGCTCAGTGCATAGAGCATAGGCCCGAGGGGCTAAAGGTCCCAGGTTTGATTCCGGTCTAGGGCATGTACTGTGGTTGTAGGCTCCTCCCGAGCCTGGATCCTGGTCAGAGGGCGTACAAGAGGTAACCAATTGATGATGCTTCTCTCTGCCTTTCCCTCTCTCTTCTACTCTTCTCTAAAAATCAATGGAAAAATATCCTTGGGTGAGGATAAAAAATAACAATAAAAAAATTAGAGATGGTGCTTTGCAAACTGCTTTGTTTAATGGGAAATTATTTTTGCACAGAAAAATTATTTAATCCAGAGTTAAACTGCAAACAGTTCTTACTGGTAACCTAGTCACTGAAAAGCTGATGGCTCAATTTTTCAAACATACCTTTAATTAAGCAATCTAAGTTTTTAATTTCTTTCAATAACCTCTACGCAACCAAAAGCATCAGACTGATGAAGGCAGAAGCATGTTTTTAAAACAGTATGTCTCATCTGACATTCTGTTCACTGAGAGTCACTCTGGGAAAAACACTGAAGATGACCAAGTTGGATCTTGAAAGATGATATAAAATTGTCCAGGTGGAGAATAGGAAAGGGGACTTTTCAGTAATTCCTTGACAGAAAAAAATGTAAGTCCTGGGGCATCTTAACTGACTTCTACATGAAAAGTACAACATCTCTCAAAAAATACCAACCCTGCACAAATATTCCATTTGTGTTTACACTGGAGCGAGGGCTATAGAACCAATCTAATTTTGTTCAACAATTTCAGATTAAGAACGTGCTTTCAAAACTACAACACAGATTAGATGACTTCTAGTGCAGATTCAATGTTTTCTAATAACTGACATATATTCACAACTTTCACTCTAGTGGAATCAGATATAAATGTCATTCAATAATATTAAACCAGTTCCAAACAGTAAATTCCTCAGAGAAACAAAAAATGATTACTTTAGCTAAAACTATATACTTTCATAATGAAAGAGACCCAAAAGGTTATCTATATAACAACCTTCGTGTTAATACAGGAATCTCTCCTATGTCACCCCCTCCCTCCCAAAAATATGGTTAGTAAGCTGTCAATAATAAAGATCTCTATCGCAGGAGGGTGCCCAAAGTTCTCTATTGAACAGATGAACTTCAGTTTCTGACACCTTGATGAAACCTCCTATTAAAAACAAGTTAATATAAAATATTTATTTTTAATCTTTTAAAAAATATATAAGCTAGCAAGAATGTATGAAATCCTGGGTGGCCAAAAAACTAGTGAAAGTGGAAATACAGGAAGGTATGTATACACACTGAAACTGTTTTTTTTCTTGAGCGTATTTGCCAAAACCAGGTGATCTCAACATTTGATTTTTACAATTCAACACCTGCTATGCATAAACCTTGACACAGGTGTAAGAGGAAAAATATCTGCATTGAAATATTTGTATCAACAGATTAGCCTACATTTGGATCTGCAATCTAACACACTACTGTGATGGTCCAAAAACCCACAAGTCAATACTGTTAAGTACAAACTTGGGCTGGGTGTCCCTAGGTGTCTGTCAAAAACAAAAGCAAATCTGCTATGGAAGAACAAAGCTTCAACTCAAAGCCTCAAAGAATTTCTACAGATAAATTTCCAAGGAATATGAATTCACAGTCAAAAATCAAAAGCACAAACAAAGTCA